TTCAAGAGTCAGGAACTGCCTAGATGTAGGGAACTGGAGTTGAACTGGCAGGTTTTTTTTTGTTTTGTTTTTTAATCTAACTACAGTTAAGTAAAACTGCACAAAGTTGTACATAAAGTGACTTAATTTTCTCAGGAGTGCTCAGACCTGGGAGGTCTTTTTTCCCTTCCTGTTGGTTCAACAGACTCACAAAATGTGGGCTTTGCAGCCTGGGGACAGGGCAAGGTAAGAATTAATTCACCGTCCTGGCTATCAGTGCTCTAAGTTGCCTATTTACCCTCAGCTATGCCCTGTAACGGCCCATCAAAATGGGCAATGGTTTGTGGAGTCACTTGAGACTGGAAAAAGGCTGCCCCCTCCCAGGGCAGAGCTACACGCTTAGAGTTGTCATACTCTTAATACCCTTGATGGTCAAGCTGTATACTTACAAAGACTAGATTTGGTACAAGGCCTATATAGTTGATCCTATAAACACTCTAGCACTCTTTAAATTGTAGAAATGTCTACAGAGCACCTCATGGATGCCAGTGGGAACACAGCGATGGTATACTGAAGGCTGAGGTTGCTTAGAAAGAGTGTAGATGTTAATCTTTTAACATGACGATGCAGGTATACAGAATACTTTTGCGTAGGGTGTATGTTCCTGGGTGGGATGTGATATAGGAGATCATAAATGATCTTTTCCCCTTTCTTCAACTTCCATTCGTTGATGCTTCTGGCAAGAATAGTGGACCAGAGCAGCAGGCAGTTACTTCACACTTTTCTGTAGTACTTTTCTATATCAGGGAGTTCAGTTTTCCCCTGACACTAGTTGCTTGTGGCCTCAGTGACTGTAGTGCAGCATACAAAGATCACTTTAATAGTCATCTTTTATGTGAACTGAATCTCCTCAACCCTACCGTACACTGCAAGTCATCCAGATGTGGGTGCTTGCTAGGAGTGCTGCAAGAACAAGGGTAAAGTTAAGAAGAATCCTCATCTTAGTGAGACCTTAAAGAGCTCCTGCTTGCCACAAGCAACAGATCTGGATGCGCAGGCAGTTGTCACTGTTGTGAGCTACTGTCAGGCTAACACAGAGAGCACTTCTTAAGCTTATGAGCTTTACAGTAGTAGTGCAAGTGGGATTCTGGCTTATAGCTATGGTATCTTACTGTGGAAATGGCTTAGGGAGGGTTGTTGGACCTGCCTATTTTGCTCTTGCCAGAGATAAAGTTAAAAAATAAAACAACAACAAAACAGTTTTTGGTTTGATACCATTTGGGTCAGAAGAACTTTCAGCTCAACTTTTGTAGATCTAACCCAGGAAAATGGAGGTCTACAGGAAAAGCTCTATATGGCTTTCAAACCTTATCCCGTAAGAGCCGTTCTGTTGAATGATGCTGTCTGTAATTCAGTGGTTGTCTTGGAAAAAGGAAGTGGATATTCGTGCTGGGTTGTAAAACATGGAAGAAAACCATGCTAATGCACTTTTCATCAAAGCTCCGAGAATATTCTACAGCCAAGGAAAATTCTTTGGTTCTTCAGTACCATGTTCCTCATCTGGAAGCGTTACCATCTAGAGGGATTAGGAAGCACTTAGTTGACCTCATTGTTCCCTATGGTTTTGACATGCTCTGCATCAGCAACTATTGCAGTTCCACATCTCTTTCTTTAAAGTGTGGAATTTGAGAGTTTTCTGAAGAAAGTAATAGGTTATGGTCAATGAACACACTTTCTGACCTCTGTCTCCAAAGTAATAATATCCTGTTCATCTTGCATGATATCACAAGGGTTTGTAGGGCCCTGAAATAGCTTTTTGTTGCTGTTATTTGCTAAAATGCTTCCTTAAGGAATACAAAATGTTTGTTCAGAATTTTTAGGTATGCAAAACAGAACTTGTTTCTTGTTTACCAGGAGTAAACAGGTCAGTGGAACCAGTGTTCAGTGTTATGACTGGTGTATTGAGAGAGAAGAAAAATCCGATGAGAGTAGACAAGAATTAGAGTTGTTCTTCTGCCAAAAGGGAATGGCAGCTAAAATTTTTGTCACAAAGCAATTTGAAGGACTGAGCCCTACTGAGAGTTCTCCAGTTTAAGAAACAGACTTGCTAGTCTCAGAGTAAGAAGCTGGCAGCTGGGAAGTTAGCAGGATGTTTCTAATAAAGTGTAATTTTTGTTTGTTATGTGACTATTTCATGACCTTTGGGAAAAAAAAATAATCAGAAATATCCCTGGCTTTTGATTTTTGAAATATGGTGAATGTAATTACAGGGTTCTTGTCTATTGCATTTTTTGTTATATGTGTGATGAAAGAACTGTTCTTGCTTGAGCTACAGGGGAGTGATTATTCTTCCCTCTATTTGCAAAACCCTCAACACTGTACTGGGTGCTGCTACAATAATGGATTTAGTGACGATTTGGCTCTAGTATCTAAGTCAGAAAACGATTGTGTAGTTCTTAAAGCCTAGTGAGATGATCATAAAAGCATAGTTCAAAGGCTAGTTTGGTACTTTTGTCTGTTTGCTGCATTTGTTCTGTCACTGTTTAATACCTTTCAATAGTTTAATGGCTAACTTTATACAAAAAAAAAAAACGTACAAAATTCCTATTCTGTGTGTATTTCCCCATTATACACACACAGAAGTAGACAGAGATGAGCCTTAAAGAAATCCCCTGAACCTGAATTGTCCTGAGTTCTGCTAAAGTTCACATAAGGGTTTGGATAAAAGTGCTGTGGCTCACATCCGTTTTTATTTTTTCTCCATTGTTGGCTCCTGTGTTGCCCTTTTATATCTGAAAAGCAATTCTGCAATTACTTGCTGTTGAAGCATTCATGAGAACAATAGGAATAAACTTGTTATACTACTACTGTTTTTTTTTATGCAGGGTCTGTTCTTATGTAACTTTTGAATTATTTACCTTTGCAGTTGCTCTGAGTATCTTTTGGTTTTGGACTTGGTTTCTCAAGCTGTAAAGCCTATCATTCAATAGGACAAAGGTTAACATGCCCCATCCCTGGAGGTGCTCAAGGCCAGGCTGAATGGGGCTTTGGGCAACCTGGTCTGGTGGGAGGTGTCCTGCCCATGGCAGGGGGTTGGAACTGGGTGATCTTCAAGGTCCCTTTCAAGCCAAAGTATTCTGTGATTACACATTGTTCACTTTTCATTACAGTGTGAAATGTTGTCCTAAATAATAATAATAAAATATTTTAAAAAATTGTGCCATCTGGGATCTTGTAGAAGCAGAGCAGGTTATTTAGACTCACAAAAAAGTGAAGATCAACTATTTATTTTTATCCAAAGATTCCTTTAAAGGGTGAAATCTTCTTTTCTGTAAATTGATTAAAATTCAGGGAATTTTTCCAAGAGATCACATACTCTAACTAACTCTGAATAAAAAATACTGCTTATCTATGTTACTGATAGTACCCAAGAACAGGAAAACATAAAACAAGAGTTGACTGAGAAATGGTAAGTATTTTTTTTCTTCCAAATATTTTTTTGCTGTGCTTACAACTAAGCATAAAACCAAATACAACAAGAACAAGAGGGGAGATAACTTAAAGGTTCTCATGCTCATTTCTTCAGTGGATCTCTGAGGCTGAAGTAGAATTAGCAGCACATTTTAGCATTCTGTGACTTAGATGGCTTTATGTGGAAATGCATAGAACTCATGCTGTGAGGAAGAGGTGTTCAGTCTTCTGCTCACTTCATATGACTGCAAATGCAGGTTTCAATGGGAAAATAGTCTAAATGCCTCTTTCCCATCTCTGCCTACCCATCCCGTTCCAGCGGTCTTTTTCATTCTTTGGTGTAATCAGAACAAACAAAGGGAAGGCTGGGGGCAGTTACTGCTGCTTCTGCAAGGGGCTGTCCCCTTTACCATTCCTCCAAATGCCTTCTGCCATGTGCATCTGATACAGTCTTGGAGATGGTGGCACCCTGCTTTTTCTGACATAGGCTCCTTTCCAACTGATTTTCACTGTGCCTGGCAGTTCTCCATTGTAGGTTATTGCCCACTTTCCTAATGCATAGTGTCATCTTTGCCTATAATACATGCAGAAATAATTGTTAGAAACTGTGTTTTTTAAAGCCACTATATTACAGAAGAATGAAAAGAAAAAAAACAAGGAAAGAAAAAAAGAAGAGAGAAAAAAAGAACGGTTTGCCTTCCTTAATGCTCTGCCATTGTTCCAGTGCTGTGTAATGATGGTCCAGGCTGGAGCTTGAAACCTAGATGCCTCTGAGCTCTGAGGAAGCTAGACCCAACCTGAATCCCAGCTGGGTCTGTAGATGTGATACAGAGGCATAATGAGCCAGAGTGTAGGCTGAACGCTTTTCCCTGTGGTCTACCTCTACATTTTGAGAATTATATTTCTCACGGAATCTGTTTTGGTTGAAGAATTCAACTATGAAGGACTTGTGGTCAGAAGACGTGCAGTACTCTTGCACATGAAAAAGATAGTCTAAGAAAAATTATTTTTCCACAATATTTCCATTAGAAGGCATAGCCACAGCATTGCAATTAGAGAACACCTTGATGCAGATATTGTAAGAACAAAGATTTGCTATTGACCATCCCTTTCTAACAGCTCCGCAGTGAAAGCTGGTGCCAGGTTCTGCACAGGTAAGTTTCAGCAGAGGAGTTTTTCTTTTGAATAAAAGTAACGATAAAGACCCAGCAGGGCAGCAATCACCAGACCTCTTCTGTCCCAAGGAATGACCTGTGTGGGATGTAGCCACCTAAATCAAAAGGTGATTGCCTGATCAGTGCAGCAAGTGGAGACTACCAGGTGATTTGTGCTGGTCATTTGTGGAGGGAGAGGGGAGGGGGAGAGGCTCCTTTCAAGTCTAAGGCTAGTCAGTGCATGCTTGCTATATAAAATGTTGCTGCTGATAGTGTAAACCTTGAAATTTGTTTCTGTTCTGTCTTCTCTTTCTTCTGGACTTGGCCGGGCCATGTACAAATCCCAATCATTCAACAGTACTGGAGAGTAGATAGTATTTACCTCAATAATGGTAGTTTCTTTTCGATTCTTTTTAACTCTCAATTCAGATGACGGGTCGAAGCCAACGCCTACCATGGAGACCCAGCCTATTTTCGATGGAGAAGGTAAGAGCATCCTTTAAAAAAAAAAAAAAAAAGTGAAAAAAAACTACTTCCCTCTTTCTTTTCTCTAGGGTTTATAGCTTAAACAATTTCTTTATCCTGCAAAGCAGAAAAGCCTGTGAATCTCATAAGTTATCCAAATTTCTCAGTGCTCTTGGGACCTCAGGCATTTTCCCTAATCCTTTTACATCCTCCCCTTGTCCCTGGAATCCAACAATAACACCAGTTGAACAGATTCCTGGGATAACCTTGGAGGAAAAGGTGTCATAGCTAAAAAAATGTGTATCAAGCCAGAAACGGGAACTTCCTTTGGACTATCCTTACCCTCTCAATCTCCACCCTCTCAATACCAGAAGTTTCATAACTTCTGCTGTGCCTTACAGCTTCACTACAGGGAGGGCAGTGCTAAACCACAGCCTGTAAATGTTGACTCGGAGGAAAATTGCTGGGAGGTTTCTTTATTTAGTAATTACTTTCATTGACGCACATACTATTTAAGCAAATGAAGTCAGTGTCATGGGCCTACTTAATACATGGCCCACCAAGGCAGCTCCCTTCACAAACGGGCTAGTTTTGTGATTGTATTTTGGAGAGGGAACACCAGACTTCAGTCCACTGGAAGCCTTGAAACAAGGATAAAATGGCTGTCCACGCAGAGGGTCCAATCCTTTAAATGTACAAACAGAAATATTTACCAGCATGAGTACTGGTCCTCAGGTAGCGAGTGGGCCTGTTAGCAGCAGCTTAAATTTTGCACATTGCTTGGAAGTGGAGCTTATTTTTATTTTTTATTTTTTTTTAACAGATTTAAACCCACAACCATTACAGTAGAGCTATAGGCTGAATAGGTCTGTACCACTCTGTGACCCCTTTTGAGTTATAGGCCTTGAGGAAGTGGGGGAAAACCTATGCGATTTCATACTGAAATGCTGTACTTGACACTTCAAAGGCAGAAATGGAAACTACTGAGCAACAGTAGGTGGTGGTGTTGATACTGCCTGTCTTGTAAAAACAGATGATGTTTTCTTTTTTGTGGATGCTAATATAAATTTATAACAAGGTGCTGTAGTCCTGTCTCTACCAGTGATCACAAGTATGTAAGAATATTATTATGAGCTTTCTGAAACAAGAGAGTCTTCACAATAAAAAGCATTCTCTGATAAGCAGAAGACTAAAGTCAGGTTGACTATCTTGATTATATCAAAAAGAAGTTCCTCCTGGCAGCAAGCCAATGTATTAAATCACTGTTCATAATCACAGCATGCTTCTAGCCTTTAAATTTTCTTCTGAGAGTGCTCATCGATATTTGAAGGAGAGAATGGACAAATCAAATGCAGAAGGGAGCTAATCTGGTTAAAGTCCGGTTAATACAGCCTGTTCAGATTCCTCGAGGAGCAGCTCAACATTTTGGTCATTCAAATAGAACTGGGCAAAACTCTTGATAAATGCTGCAGAGCACAGACCCTTTCTGGTCCTTATGGTGATAGATAAAATCTAAGAACACTTTGTCCCATCTTCTATGAAAAATATTTGCATTAATTTGTTAAATTGAGTACATCAGGTGTAAGAAGAGAAGAGAGAAGCCTACAGAAGAGAAGGCTTAAAGCTGACCTTGTAGTAGCCTTCCAATACCTACAAGGAGGTTATCAAGAAGATGGAGCCGGGCTCTGCACAGTAATGCACGTTGGGAAGATGAGACAACTGTCAAAAATTGAAACATGTTTGGATTGGATGTAAGGAAAAGTTTTTACACCATGATGATGGTTAGGCAGTGGAACAGGTTACAGGTTGCCCAGAGAAGTGGCGATATGTCCTTTCTGAGCTGGCTTTGATCAATGTGGTCTGACCACACAGGTGACACTGTCTGGAGCAGAAGGTTGAACTAGAGATCTCAGGATGCTACCCTGAACAGTCCTTTGACTCTGAGCAACCACATCATGATGCTTCATTGGAAATCTGCTTCATTGGAAATCTGCTTCATTGGAGAAGGTCGTCCTGAGGAATGGCTTGTACTTTGTGTCAGATGCAGATGTCAGGTGACAGAAAAGGGTAGAACAGTTACCCATTCAACTATCAAGTTTCATAGATGTTCAGAGGAGTTAATGTCTGAATTTCATTCAGTTCCAATGGGCTTGAGACATCTGTTGGGTTCCTGAAAATCTGTGTGTTCAAAGTCAGGCAACCAGCATGGACTCGATAACAAAAGATGAATAAAAACGCGGATTTTTTTTCACACTTTGTTTTTGGATGCCTACCTTCAAGCAACAAGGGACTGATGCACTTTACTGGTCCTTGCTATAGTTATAAGTAAAAGAAGAAATAATAACAAAACAAAACAAAAAACAACCCAACTACATATACCAGTTTTATTCCCTCTTGTACTTCTAGGCTCTGTTTTCTTTGCATCCACCACCTTCTGTTTAGTTTCAACATGCAATTTGTATTCATTTTCTAAATAACAATTTCTCTGAGCATCTTCCCTTTTTGGTAAACTTTACCTTGTGACACAGTGGAAATCTTCTCTTTCCACAGATCTGTTATTCAGAGGAGTTATTAATTTAGATTGCTTCTCTGTATTCTGAAAAATGTCCTGGTTAACTGGATTGAAAATACATTTTTACAGTAGATCCCAAAGGGGTTCACTTCCTTTATTTCTTTTCCTTTTTCTTTTCTGAAGATTGCTTGTTCTGTAACTTCCAGTCTCGCTTAAAGGTATGCGTTACTGTGTATCTAGAGGCCCTGACCCATTCTCTGACATCCACTGAATGCAGTTATCCATTCCTTTTCAGCTGTAGATGTACTCAGTCCATACAATGCAGAATCAGAGCTAAATTTCATTCCAGATTTGGCAGTTTGTATCTAGCACTTTGCTTCGTGGCCTTTTCTGCTTTTGTGCTTCTCCCCTTCCTACCCCTTGCATGATGTTTAATTTGATAAAGGTATCCCAAGAAAAAGCCCAAGGTACATAGGTATATGTATTTTATGCATGTATGTATTTTTTATGACTGGTAATAAAGTAGTGTAGTGAAATTTACAGATAAGGCAATCTTTGTTAAGCAAAATTTTACTACTGCTGGGATATCTATTGGTGTTCAATCTGTATTTTCATATGAAAAACATGCCCTGAGCATGATTACAATAAGGCTTATGATCAATGTAGCTAAAAACATTTAAGAAGCAAAAAATACCCTTCACTTTTCCTTTGTGTGCTTTTAATGTGTAATCAGTTTCTCTAGTAGTCAGCCAGCTTCTCCTTTGCAGAGCAGAATAAATGTCAACAAAGGAGCAGGAAAACTCTTCTAAAAACTTCTTAGATGAACTCCTGAAGCCAGCTCCAGGATCTAACATGTAAAGTACACTCTTGTGGAAACTGGATTTTTTTTCAGCTGAGAAATATCAGTTCTGAAAATGTCAGTTTAGGAGCTCAAGCCCATGGTATCAAGTACTGCTTTGCTCAGTTCTATTCAAATGCTGATGTTGTGTCATTGCCATAAGGAGTTTCTTAAGGCAGGTTCTGCTGTGTTTTCAAGTTGAGTGTAACACTTCAGAGGAGGAACTCGAAGTAATTCTTCCACAACATTGTGTTTGTGTATCTTGGTAATAGTGCATTAGAAGTGCTTTTTTAACCAGAACTTAGTTCTTTAACAGATTTCCCTTTAAGTCTTTCCAGAAATACCCTTATTTCTTTGTTTGTTTATTTTGGGTTTTGCTGTTGCTTGTTTTAAGGAACTGAAAAACCTGTGATTAGCTATGCTTGGGTTGTTAAAACAATATTTAAGGTCTGGATTAAATGTTTTATATCTGGATTTCATACATACTTTGGTGGAAACCATCCCAGCCATAACCATTGAGTTCTGTAAGTCTTGATGAGAAAGGCTTTACGCTTGAGAATTTGGCTAAGAAGTAGGAAATGGGGGGAGAAAATAATGTTTTGCCAATAGAGTAAAATTGGTATTTTACTCTATAATTGGTATTTTGCCAATATCTTCCCTCTCTGGAAGGGGAAGATAATGATAAGATAACCTCATGGCACGTTTACAAATACTGGCTCCTAAGCAGCTGGAAGACTCACCAGGGGGTGAGCCAATCTCTACAAAGACATGTATCCATTGGCAACACCTTGTCCTCATGAGTAAGAACTGTGTGGATCTGCTACCTGCTGCTAGCAAATTTCTTTAAGGCAGTTATTTTTTCTCTTTCAGAGATCACAGCACCCACCCTGTGGATTAAGCATTTGGTCATCAAAGATTCCAAACTGAACAGCTCCAGCGTAAGGAATTCAGGTAATATTCCATCCCATTCCCCAAAAAAGTTGATTTTTTAATCTAAGCTGCAGTCCCTCATTCTCGTCTTGTTTCATTCTTTCTTCATTGTAGCCTATCCTGCTGCATTTACATAGCAGGATTTGAAGTGTGGGCTATAAAAGAATTTTAGATAGCATCCTTGTTTGTGTCCAGAAGACCACAATAAATGTGCGATGAAGGGTGTTTGTTTCCACAGACCAGAACTGGGGAAGCTCTAATGTCTTCATGTGATAATTCATCCCAGCCACTTGTCATCTTTATTCTATTTGCTGTTCATCAAGTCTTTCATGGACTTGCAAACAGATGCATTTGGCTCTGAGATCTTTGCTGTGGTTTTGGTCTAAGCAGTTGAGAAAATACAGAGAGGGGCTTCTCTTGAAACTTCATGGTTCTTCTCTGCAGGGAATATTTTTTGATATTTGATAGAGAAATTATAGGCTTATTTCACAATAGAAAGTAGGTTACTTATGTCTGGGCTTAAGTAAATGTTGAGAGAATTTTTGTGGGTAATAGAGTGGATGAGAGAAGACCTAAGCAAATAACAGCAAAGAAAATATGAACATGAATGGGAAGCAGGGGGAGCAGCAAGATATGAAGCGAGGATATAAAACTTGAGATTGGAGATGAGGCTATAACTGTGTGAAGTCAAAGGAATCACAAGAGACTTGAACAATCTGAATAGGAAAGTAGGGGATTAGGGGTAAGAAAGGTTTCTGTCTGATATATTTTAACTAAAGTGGAAGAATACAAAAAAGGTAGAAGGGACATCAAAAGAGAAAATTGCCTTAAGAAATCGTGGGTTTATTCTGAGGTTTGAATAGCAGCTGCTCTTATTGTATATATTTTACAAAACGATATATAGCTAGAACAACTGTTGGGAATAACTCCAGCCCCCAGAACAGATAAATTACACTAGCTTGAAGTACCTGGTCACCTTGTATTTCTGGATTAGCCTGAGAGCATTCATGGCACTCAGCAATTCCTGTAACTTTTCTGATTCCTTCCACACTGCAGGGAGAGAACTATGTTAGGTGAGGTTGTTGTCTCACTGCAGTGTGGATCTCTTAAGAGCTGAAGACCCAGTGTTGCCCAGACCCCAGTTTTAGAAGGTCTGCTCTGCCTTACCTCCTGACTACATTTGCAGCAGGGATATTTGCATATCCTATGTAATGATGGGTTCTGCCTATCTTAGAGACCATCTTTCATTGTTATGTGGCAAACCTGGTAGCTGTGATGAAAATACGAGCTCGCAAATCTGGTTCTGGGAGGGTAGAAAGTGACTTAGGACTGGGAGGGTCTTTCATTAAAGAGCCTGTCCTCTACCCTTGGTGGCCCAACAGAGCAGAAGTAGACTGCCTTTCATGTTGTTAAAGCATTTCCTTAGGAAGCTGCCTTGTGTAAGGTAGAGTTGTGTCTGTGAAAGTTCGTTTTGTGAGGTTTACCTTTTTTCCACTATTTTTTCTCCAATTAGTTATGATGTCATTTCTCGTATTCAAACAAGATTATTGTGGGTGCAAGCTACAAATAAAAAATAAATGATCTTCTGGAAAATTCAAGAATTCCATAACAGGTGGTTTCAACAGCATGCCAAAAGGAGATGTGTGGTTCAACTGACTCAGCCTTTCTTGTGGCCCCAACAGACGCTCATTTGCTGTGGGATCTTATTAAGAGACTGGGTTGCCAGTTTTAGACTCAAGTTTCCACATTGGGCCTTACAAATACAGAGCCATCTCTGTTTATTACAGTGAGTTATTGATATCAAGAAATGCTGCCTCATCAAAATGGGTCTGTAGTGTAGCTGATGGGAAATGTGAGTTATTTTAGTCTTTCTTTCAGCCAGCTAAGCCTAATCCCACTGTTTGGTACCTCTCATTCCAGGCCCTTGTCATACATGTTAAAAGACAATGTAGGGTTGGTGGGATGGAACAACTAAGAGCTGGTGAGAAGAATTATCATTTAGAATCAGGTTTTTCAGATGTCTTCAAGTATCTCTTGGATGAAAATGATCATGTAATGGGATGGGCATGCATATTTAAGGAGTAATTTTAATTGCTGTTTTCAATCCCTTGGTAGCTTGAAATATCAATGCCTATCACACTTCTGATTTTTTCATTTTTTTGGAAAGGGTTAAGGTAAGTTTCGCTAGCCTAAGATTGGGTTTATGTTTTTTTTGGTGTTTACTCAGCTATATTGCCGCTGAGCTTGCAGCTAACTGTCCTGAAACTGATCCATCCTCCTATCCTTTTGCTGCAATTTAATGGGATGACTGAAATTAGAGGTGAGAAAAGACCTAGTAGGTCAGCTAATCTGCTGTCTTTAGGGATAGAGAATGTTTGTACTGTACAAAGAGCAGTATTTTCTAATGTATTGTAATATAGCCTTAGGCACTCAAGGTTTCACTTCTTTCCACAGGAAGCTTCCCTGGATGGGTCTGTTTGTTTGTTTGTTTGTTTGTTTGTTTTTTTTTGTAATAGGCAATCTAACACTTTTAATTCTTCTTTTTCAGTAGTCTTGAGTTTTTTGAAAGCCTGCCCTTTTTTCAAATTTGTATACTTGAAACATTTAACCCTGATCTCTCTCCTCCATGTGGTGGTTACGTAGCCCTGTCTGCTGCAGCTGAAGAGAAGTCCTGTAGATAACTACTGTCTAAAAGACTCGTGTGCTACTCTCTAATCAGCACTTCTATCTGACATTCTGGAAAGCTAACACCATCACTATATCAACCGTGGGGAGAATGTAAGAAGTATTATATTGAGACAAATAGGCGCTGTGACTTGTCAATTCTCTTTCCTGTTAATATTGTGCTTTAGTGGAAGCTTTTAGAATAACCTTTGAGTAAGTTACCTACATAACCATACATTTTAGAGATATTTTTATCTGGCTTTAGAGCCTGTGGTGTGTTGCTGAGTATCTACTGAAGAAAAAGAAGTAAGGGAGAAGAATTGAGTAGCTTGGAAGGCTCTCCTCAGACCTTTAACTCTCCCAAAGAACAAGGCACAAAGCCACAGTGCTTCCAGCATGGTTAATGACTGCACAGCAAGGCTTCAGGCCTTGTCCTGTGAATGAGCCTTGTATCTGCTAACACTGGTGTGGCCATGGACCTGACAGGAGTGAGGAAGTCAGGAAGATTTGAGGAATTTGTTGTATCCATCTTGGTAGTGGTGATGGATGGGACCCTTTCTCACTACTGGGAGCCGTCTGAGTCAGAATTTCCTGCATCCCATCAGAGTGAACCAACCAGCAGAGAGCTGAGCTTTGCAGAACCGGTGACATCCCTGCTTTTTCCTGCAATCCTCATTGTGTATGTAGTCTGTATCTCACAAGAGCTGCATTTGAAATCTGAGTGTTCTGCCTTCCATTTAGTGCTGGTGAGCAGAAATGGTTCTCCTGAAACAGTCTTCTCTTTTGGAGCATTTACTTTTTGCTTAGTATGTGTAAATATTAATTAAGCTAGGGATCAGGAAAATCAGAATGACCAGTCTGTTGATCAGAGCATTTGACTGAGAATCCATGTATCTCCAGGTGTTTTCCTAGTGAATTTTTCTGTGCTAAGTAAAACACGATTGCTAGTGCTGTTACCCCAGCCCACCTTAAAGAACAATGATTAGATCTTTCTCATTGGGGTGAGATGCAGGTTAAAATTGTCTTGGCCAAAGGCAGGAACAAAAATGTGAACATGCTGTAACATCTGTACTGTTGAGTAGCAGAACTGTTGATGTTTTTCTACACTTACAAACTAAGTCATTTTGTTTTTTTATGAAACATAAAAACCCAAAAGTTTTTCTTTTGGGGGTAGGTGAAAGATCTAGATAAACACAAAATAATTTGTTTGCTGTGCAAGATGACAAAAACATTTTTGTTTGTTCAGTTTGATTTCCACCTTCTACAAATGTGCACACCTGTGTGCACATATGCATCCCCCAAACTAAGCCTCTTATTTTGCACTTCTCTTTGTGATGTGTCATTTATTTTTAACACTGCCAGAGCAGGAAGAGATACAGACCGCACCTTTGCAATGGCCATTTCCTAACAGTTTGGGTGGGAATTTTCTTTTCATACTACTTTTACTGTTTCAGGCTGCTGCTTTCCTACCTCCTCTCGCCAGCCTACTCCAGCCTGGAACAGTCCAAATGATTATTCTTTTACAGTTCTTACTCTAGGGAAACACTTGATAATGAATCCCGTTTCCAAGAAAATAAATCGAATGGCAGCATGTTTGGGAGCACCCCATCTCCACTGAAGAATTCATGGTTGTTCCTCATTTTCAGAGTTGGGTTATCTCCAAATCCGTTTGTGCTACTTAGTGATTTGGTTTTGGTTAGCAAGAGATTCCAGCCTGTATCCAGAGTACCCTGACAACCTTTAAGAAAACCACAGAGTGATGTAATGAGCTCATGCATGGAAAAATAAACAGCTCTAGAGAAACCAGCAGTAGCAGCCTCAAGTAAATATTCTGCAGTCACTGGGGTTTTGAACATGACGTTATTTGAAAGGAAGAATGAGTAATATATTAAGGTTAGCAGCTGAAGACAGGTTTGTGTGTGCCTAGTTTAAAAAAAAAAAAAAAAAAAAGGGGGTGGTGGTGAAGAAAAGTAGCTGTTTATTTCAAAATCCTGCTTGTTGAATGCGAGCCAACTTCACGTGGCCTATTCTGTTTGGCTCTGGCACCCAAGCACCAAGGCGTCTGATGTGACAGCTTTCCAGTGACAGAGTTTTCTGCTGTCAGGAGCTCTTCGTGGACAGGGTTATAACTGTAAATAAGAATGGTGGTATTCATATTTTTGTTTTCCTTTTTTTTTTCAATTGAGTTTACTTGGAGCCCAAACTTTAGGGCTTCTCAAAGGGAAAAACAGCTTGAAAACCACTTGTTCCCTGCAAGAAGTAGAAGCACACTCTCTACCCTACCTGAAGGGGACCCTCTGTGCTCTCACAACAGTGCAGTTTGTCTCCAAAGATCTGCACAGTGAGGTGGGATGTAA